TTATGGCTGACAACGGCTTTCTAATTTGGGATTTCCTTGCACTCAAGAAAGTCCACCATGTTTCTCCAGCTTTCTCACTACATACTCATGTTGAAAGAAACATTTTAAAATTGATACAATTTAGAATTCTTTCTGGAGTTATTCCTCTTTTGTTGAAACCAATGTTGGACAGAATTATTTTTGTCTGTGCCGCTTTAACTAACCTGTGTGGGAGAAGTATAAAGTAAGGTGCACAGTGCAGAAGCAAAAGTATTTTATTTTTTGATGTTACTGATCTTACTACATGTTACTTTAGGTTCACTGCTTTGTGTGAGTATTGACACTGAAAAGCTTCTAGAAGAAAAGAAGGAACAATTTGGTTACTATAAAACTTGTAAACTGTTGCCACAACAGTTTCCCAAATATTAGCATTAAATTTAATTTTGACTACAAATATGCCTTTACTTGTATAGGTGACAAAATCGCAGGTTTTAAAACCTGAAACTGCCATGCCAGTCTGGACTTGGAAGTAATGTAAGTGATTTTCATCAAGAAAATACTTCCCATCTTTATCTTTTTTCCCACCAACACCAGGTAACACAAAAGCAACTTTAGGGTTAAGGTCTTTCCCTTTAAATGGGCATTTTATCTCTACTGCTGTAGGGTCACAACACTGACATTTTGTAATACCATCTAGACTGGCTCCTATCCAGGAATAGTATCTACTTATGATGAGACCAGGCTCTTCAAACTCAAATGAACTGTGCTGTTTTTCGCAGGCTTTTGAATAGTAAAATTTTGCACCATCTTCTTTTATACCATGTTCTGTGGTTTCAGGATACACTTGGCTTTCTTGAAATTCTTTTTGTTTAATAAATTTTTTTACACTGAGTGATACATCAGTAATAGGATTTTTTCTAAAGTTTTTGTCTAGTATAAAGTGATTAAATTTTTTTACCGGTAACTAAAAGATGTCTCATGTTATGCCAGGTTTTGTTCTTGTATTGTCCTACAGTAGCTTTTTCAATACTCACTCTGTCATTGTCTGAAAATATCAATGGTTTCAGAAATTCTTCTGCGTAATTTAACAAACCCTTGGCTGTTGGTCCAGCAATTGCTACACCCAATACATCAGGACACCTGCTTCAATACTCCAAGCAGTCCCTGCTCAGCTAGCCGCCACCCATAGCACCCCACTACAAGCTTGGGATCCAAACACAGGACAATGTAGACCTTGCTAAAGTTGCACTAATATCTGTCACTATGTACCTGGCAGTATTTGGGGCATAATTTCGGTGCACACCTTCCACTTAGCTATCGCCTGCATCAGGCTGGGTTGGTCCCTCACCCCACCTTATTCTTAGCTACCTAACCAGCTAGGTTGGGGGGCTTTGTTCTCTGGGGGAGGGCACTATCACCCCAATTCATTCACTGGGTGTGTCNCGCTATCACCCTAATTCATTTAGTGGGTGTGTCCGCCAACCACCCAAGTTTCTGCTTTGGGGTTTGTGTCCGCTAACCGCCCCACGTTGTGTTTATGCTTTGGGGTTTGAGTCCGCTAACTGCCCCACTTTGTTTGCAGGGTGTGTCTGCTAACCAGCCAATTAGCTGTCCAGGGTGTGTCGCTACCACCCACTCCCGTTGCTATCCCAGGGAGCACCCAGTGTCCATGGTCCCATTTACTGCCAGATTTGTCTTGTTTTTTTTGTTCATACAATATTCACAGGAAAAAAAATTCAAAAACCATTAATGGTTTTGAAGATGGGAAAAAGTATCGTATTTTCTCAATTAAACGCCGGACCCCAATTAAACACCGGTCTCGTATAAATGCCGGGTCCACAAGGCCAATTTTGAAATAAACGCCAGGGGCATTTAATTGAGGCCGCGGCGTTTGTTCGAGGCCCAGGGGTTTATTTGAATTCAAACCAACAATTTGATTTTTCCCTTATTAAATAGCACTACTGCAACATACTAGTATGCTATGGTGTTTTGATAATCTTAATAAATGTTGAAAAGGAAAAGTCCGGAAATACCTGAATTACATCATGGTTTTCATACTTTTACCATGAGTTATCAGGATTTGATTTTAGCTAGACTCTGCTTTAATTCTCAGA